AAAATTCTTAGTAATTACCCACTGCCGTTTGAAGGTGATGAACACTGGAACACATCAGATGCAGGGAAGGCAACAAAAAAACACCGTAACATATAACAAGCCGTTGAGCAGCTCAAATTGAACAATGTGGCGACAAGGCAATACTCGACCCAAAAGAAACCTGGCGACGATATTACCGAAACGGCCGACTAATTGAGCGCGAATGAATGCTTCACGACCACTGCCACACACACAGGGACCGGTCTAAACAGCAGTGCCGCCGTACCGTTACGAAGGTGGTGGTTTTTTAGTGGGAAAAAACATTGAAGGTCGCGGCGTATATTATATAAAAAAACGCGGAATCTCCGGAATACTAGACGGCTACAGGAAAAAATATAAAAAAACAAATTGCGTTGTGTCAGCGGCATACCCGTTGTGACAAACACAAACGTGTATGATGTGATCGACTGACCTGCTCTCCCTCACTTACCGTGTTTTCATATTAAATTAAATGTATCGCATCACCTCACATTAATGTGTATCTAACACAATTATTAATTTAAATTGATTATTTAAAAACAATCATGTTATTCTAAGAAATTAATATAATTTTTAAATAAAAGTGTTAACTATCTTAAATGAAAAGATTAAATGAACAAACATTATTGTGGATACAAATAAAGTAGCTTAATGATATTACATATTATGATAGTAACGAGTATATTATGATATTACAATATTGTTTATTATAAAACGAAATTTCGTTTATTTGGAAGGTAAAATACCTTATATAAATATATATATAAAAATAGTCCAAAAATGGATTCCTGGTAGGTTCTTACAATATTAAAATCTTGTTATATGCCTACGCGCAAACCAAGTGTTTTCATTAGCTATGGTTTTTTTTACTGCTAAAACATGTAAATTTAATATAAGTTTGAATTAAAAAATTCAATTTATAATTGTAAATAATTGATTGAAGATTGCTTTAACAAAATATGTTTTACAATTCTAATACTCTTTCCTCATTTTCATAGTCTACATTACCATGGTTATTTAAACTTTGTATTTCGAAAGATTCACAAAATTTTAAACATGATAAAATACTTATTATGCTTATATTATGGAATAATTTATTTATTAACTTCGTAAACAAATATATTCTTACAAAATTATCATTCATTCCTTTAGAATCTGAAATTGACCATAAATATTGAATATTTTTTAATTCATTTTCATCTAAGTCATTTCTTAAAATATACATTTTAATTTCAATATGGATATTCGATTCATAGTCTGGGTGTCTAATTAAATCATTTGAAATTAATTTAAAAGAGTTGGATTTTATTTTATCTATTATACATACAATATTTGAAATCAATACACCATGATAATATATAAAATTTTTATTATCTGAGGGTAAATTTGTAAAAGATTTTAAAATTTTTTGAAAATCACGAGCTTCTACGCCATCAAATAGCATAGTCATCTTCTGAAATAAATTTGCTATTTTTTCTATCAAAAATTTTGCAGAATCTATTTGTTCATTGTCTAACAGTAAATAACTGTAGATAAAGTGCTTTTTCATTAAATGCATTAAAATGGTTTTAAAAACGTTTAAGACTTTTCGTTGATAAACTCCAATTCGTTTTATCCATAAATCAAATTTAAAGTAATTCTTTGCTGCTTTGTATGCTTTATGTATGTCATTATAGATAGCATCAAAAGTATCTTTACTTTGTTCACCGAAATCCATTATAGCAGTTCTCAATAATTCTTTTTTTTCAATTATGTCGCACATATAAATACTTCTGAGTGAGAATGCACTTTCTTCTTTGTCTACAATTTCCAATACATTTTTGTTGATTTCTCTTCTTTGATTCATAACATCTAAAAGGTTCGTGAGAGTTGAATATTGTTCCGAAATAACTGAAGGAATACCTCTTACGTCATACTTATTATTATCTCGACACATGCAAAAAGATACAAATATTAACATTGAGCGAAGTGTTAGATGAGTATCTACAATATTATATGGATATTGATATATTTCATTACCAAAGATTCGAATATATGAAGTATAAAAATGCATTGCCCAAAAAGCGTCATTTTTTTTTAGGGGATTATACTTAGTCAAAATAACTAAAATTTGTTTTGTAATCGATTCGTTTAAAATAATTCTGTTTATATCATATGTTTGTCCAGATGGCAATTCAATTAAAGAAGAAATAAGATTCAAATATTGAAGAAAATTGAATGTATTACCACAAATAAGATCCAACCGTATAAAGTGCGTTTTTGACTTTATTAATAAACGTTTTAGGTAGTTCCCTCTTATTGAATTATCTTCTGGGAAGATTTTGTTTTTGAAATCTTCCAATGACAAATTGCATAGATCTTCATAGCTAGGATACTCGAATCCAGTATCTAATTTTAAAACTCTTTCTAATGATTCATCTTTTGTCTTCCAAAATTTTATGCCATAACATTTTTTTAGCTTTACAATACATAACAAAAATAATATCGCAGTAAATATTTTTAAAATCATTTTCAATTGACAATTTATAAATTATTTTATTATGTGATAATTTAATAAGCTAGCAAAATATTTTTTTAAAACTCTTTATAAGTATTTTAACTATGGATATTTATTAATATCTGTATTTATTTTTATAGTATTTTTATATTCAAAAATAGATCGCATAATACATTTGTTATAAAATTAATAATATAATGTAATTGATTAAACAAACATATTGAGCTCAAATTTTGCATGTTAGTTGTTTATTTAAGAACTTAATATATTTTTATAATAAGTTATTAATACTTATTTATATCATTCAATTTTTGTACATATTTTTTTGTAACTATATATGTACTACATCGCGAAGTCATTTTTTAATGAGATATGCTGGTTTTTTATACATGATAAACTATTTTACCATGTATTCTTTATGCTAAATTGGATGTCTATAGTCTGCCAACATATTATACAGGATGATTGTTTTAATATTAGCCACTCAATTCAACTTAAAATAATAATTATATGAAGAAAATCTATTATGGTATTATTAATTTTATATATTTTTCGATTTATTAATTATGAAGTATGTTTTTAGATCATCCCTTTATGCCTTAAAAGGGTGTCAACTTTATCTTTTTTAATTAAATATATATATAGTGTATAAAATAAAAAATTATCTATTTAAGAAAATTACTTGTCGATAACATTTTTAAATGTAGATTGGAGAAAGATCGCGACCTAGTAATGCGTAATGATTTTAACATAACCCACACATTACCTCCATTATATATTTTAAAATAATTATAACTTCCGAAATACTAGTCCAAAATTTGTTATACATCAGTCTGTCTAATACCAAAAACAGTTTTTTGGCTATAAGAAGTAAGTTAAGGAAGTCAATCTTCCTTTTTTTTACTTTATATTATACTCTTGTTAAGGGTGTTTACTCACAATTTCCCTTTGTTTAGTCGATCAGCCGTTCTCGTTGTGTACGTTCTTAGTTTGAGTTCTGCTATACTTTTTAACTGTGAATTATATTCAAAAGTATTTAATTATGAGTGACAAGGTGTACAGTGGCCACAAAGGCAGTAAAACAAGAAGTACCAGAAGAACCCAGAGTAAAATTAGTAACCGACACTCGCCTAACCGCCATGCGTTCGAAGGCTATTCGGAGTACGTTAGTACCTCGGCGAAAACCTTAAAAAGTTCTGATTTAAACCGTGATCGCGATGTTGATAGGGATTTCGGCTACTGTTTCATACATTTTTTCGCTGTATTTACTGCTCTTTCTGAATTATTAGTATGTAAAAAATGTAATAGTGATGTGCGGTTTTCACAGTCGAGCAAGCGTGGATTAGGCTTCAAGATTGTTGTGTCTTGTTCGAACTGCGGTGATGTCGATATTTTTAACTGTTCTCTAATACCTGATCGTGCTTATGAGATCAATTGCCGTATTATTTTGTGTAATTATTATATTTAACGGTCGGCCATCACGTTTGACCGTAACGGTTATTCCATTTTTATTATCAACATATTTTCATTTTCTGTCTAATTTTGTTTTATTTCGTATGTTTGTAGTTATACTAATGTTATGAGAATATCTTAATAAATAATTATTGAGGTGTGGCTGAGTGGGATAGACAAATAAAATAATCGAACTAATTAAATGTAATTTTTAATTATCGACACATGACATCGAAATGAAAAGAAAAAGAAAAAAAAAGTTTCTAACCTAAAAATAAATATAATAGTAGATAACAGGTTGGATTGCTATCTCAACAATAATTGTATGTAATATTGAAAGAATTGAGTCTATTTGCTATTATTAAAATGGATTTTTATGGAGATAAAAATAAATTTGTAAATATTTAGTAAAAGTTTAATTGTGAATGATACTTGGACAATGATTTATAGCAAAATTTGAGATGTAATATTGTTATTTTTTAAACAAAAGTTGAATATTATGGTCTTTTGTAATTGAAACAGTATAGATAAAAANGCGACTTGGTCCTGTGAAGGAATGTAAGAGAGTGATATTGCTCCGTTGTTGATTGCTTCTCTTAGGAAAGAGTACTTCACATCGATATGTTTCATACGCTGGTGTTGTCTCGGTTGTTGTGTAATGGTGATACAGGCTTGATTATCTTCATGTANGATACAGGCTTGATTATCTTTATGTATTGTTAATTGTTTAATATAAATTCCCAGTTCTTCCATTATTCCGCGAAGCCACAATGCTTCTGAAGCAGCACTCGCTAAAGCAATGAACTCCGCTTCGGTCGATGACAGGGATACCGTAGGCTGTTTTTGTGATCTCCATGAGATGAGTGATCCATACACTTTGAAACAATATCCAGATATAGATCGTCTGTCTTGCATATCGTTTGCCCAGTCTGCATCGGCATATCTTATGATTGGCTCATCGTCGCTTTTGAATACTAGTTTTGCATTGATAGTGTGCTTAATATATCTTAGTATTCTTTTAAGATGGATCCAGTATAGTTCGGTTGGTTTTACTTGAAATCTACTAAAGTAATTGACTGCATAGCAGATGTCTGGTCTCGTTGCAATGGCAGCATACATAAGTGACCCTACTAGTTCTCTGTATGGATTCTGTGTTACTTTACTATCTTGTTCATATAACTTGAGATTAAATTCCATGGGAGTACTAATTGGTTTGCAGTTGTCCATGGAAAACTTCTTCAGTACTTTAGATAAGTACGCAGCTTGGTCAATTGATATTGTATCATCCTTTAAGTTGCGTTGAATGTTGATACCAATGAAGTTATGACATTCTCCATAATCCTTCATGTCAAACTCCTTACTCAGTTTTGACTTAATGTCTTCTATCTCAGTAATGTTGTTACCCGTAATAAGAATATCATCTACATAGATGGCTAAGTAGATATTGTTATCTTTGCTATTATACAGCCAGTTATCTGACTCAAGTTTCTTGAAATCATTGGACTCCAGGAAATTGTTGAATCTCTTATTCCATTGACGTGATGCTTGTTTTAGACCGTATATTGATTTCTCTAATTTACATACAAGTTCAGCGCTTCCTTCTGTGTATCCTTCAGGCTGCCTCATATACACCTCCTCACTCAAATCACCGTTGAGAAATGCTGTGGTGACATCCATTTGGTGTATAAGTCATTTTCTTTTGTTTGCGACAGCGAGNGTAATTTTCTTTTGTTTGCGACAGCGAACAGTAGTCTTATGGTATTTATATTTGCAACTGGTGAATAAGTTTCAAAATAGTCCACCCCTTCCTTCTGTGCAAAGCCTTTTGCGACCAGTCTTGCCTTGTACCGATTAACGTTGCCTTGACTGTCATACTTTATTTTGAATGTCCATTTGTTTCCAATTGCTTTTCTTCCTTGAGGCAGTTTGACTAGTTTCCATGTTTCATTCTTCTTTAGTGAATTGATCTCTTGTTGCATTGCCTCTTCCCATTCCTTGTGATGTTTACTGTATTTTGCGGTTTCATATGAGGTAGGTAAGTCATCTACGATTTCTTCAGCTGATAATGCCATAGAGAAAGAAGTTTGATAGTCTTTGAGCCAATGTGGTTGTTTTCTTGTTCTCATAGTTCTTTCCATCTTGGTATTCTTGATATTATGTTCAATTTTGTTTTCTTCACTTTGTTTTTCAATTGTTTCTTCATCTTTGACACACTCATTTTCATTTGTTTTCTGTATTTTCAGTGTGTGATCTGGTTTTTCTTCTTCATGATAAGGTTCTTCTTCAATTTCAATGTTGGTTTTTGTTGATTTATTGGATTCATCAAAAACAATGTTTCTACCACAAGTTATTTTTCTTTTCCTATTGTCCCATAATCTATAACCATGGTGGGTGTAACCAACATGTATGTATACTTCTGATTTAGCATCAAACTTGTCTCTTGTGTGAGGTGGCTTTAATAGATATGCTGTACAACCAAACACTCTTAAGTTACTTATGTCTGGTTTATGACCGTACCACATTTCGAATGGTGTTTTTCCATGTAGTGCGGTAGTGGGTGACCTGTTCGAAATGTAAGCAGATGTTCGAATGGCCTCATTCCATAATTCCTTATTTAATCCGCTATCGAAAAGCAGTGTTCTACATTTTTCTGTAATGGTTCTGTTGAGTCTCTCTGCGTGACCATTCTGTTGAGGTGTATAAGGTGTTGTGCCTGTAGCTGTATCCCCTTTTCTTCACAGAATTGTAGAAATGTTTTTGAAGTGTACTCTCCACCATTGTCACAACGCAGGCAAACCAATCGATTGGAAAAGTGTGTGGTGGCAAGAGCTTCATACCTTTTAAACATCATTAAAGCATCCGACTTGTGTTTTAAAGGATAGACAACAGTGAAGTGAGTGAAATCATCCATAAAGGTAATATAGTATCGCTCACCCATCCAGCTGGTTGGAGTTATTGGTCCACATATATCTGTGTGTACCAACTGTAGTGGACGATTTGCTCTGGTTCTCTGTCCTTGAAAGGGGATGGCAGATTGTTTTCCTTGAATGCATATAGAGCATCCTGTTGTATGACAGTCATTTCCAACGTTTATTCCATTTGTTAATTTTTGAAGTAAACTTAAATATTTGTCAGACAGATGTCCCATTCTCCTGTGCCATAATATTACATTTTCATAACTATTGTTAATGTTCTGTGCCGAGAAAGTTGAACTTACTTTATGGGTAATATCAAACGTTAATTTGTACAGATTACCTTGTCTAGTACCTGAAGCTATTTCACCGTGTTGGTTGGATATTGTGACATGTCCATTTTTCAATGTTATATTTAAACCAGCCTTTTCAATCTTTCCAGCTGATAATAAATGTCGTAAGTTTTGAACAAATAAAACTTCTTTAATTGTGAATTTTTGCACTCCATTATCCTTTGATTGAAATTTACAATCAATTTGACCGATATGTGTGGCATAAATATTGTGACCGGCTTTTGCTATTCCAATTAATATTTGTTTTGCTAACGGCTCGTATTTAGTAAACAGTCTTTTATCATTAATAAGATGGTCAGTTGCGCCACTATCCAAAACCCATGTGATTTTTGATTTGTTCTTCCATGATTCGGTTGATAAGGTGTGATCAT